AAATGAAATACATTTTATCCTAAAATGATGCAGAACAATGCTTCATCCACAATCGTTGAGTTGAGACAAGTGGCGTGAATGTGATTCGTAAATACATTCAATATGGTGTAAACGTCTACTCCTCACCTGTTTTGAGTAAAGCAATCTTTTACGTCAATTAATAAAAGATATCTTTCGCTAAAATCGACCAACAAATAAACACTTTCTATCCAGAACTACGTGTGCCTTGATTTCTCTTTTGAGATACGTAAGAGTAGGAGTGCGAGATCATGTACGACCCCCTAATAATAATAATAAAAATTTAGGTCCTTTCTTTTTAATAAAAATCTAAAAAACATTTCTATTCTCTCTTTTTCCCCACTAAATAAATAGAAGATTAGAAATTAACTTAAGCTAACATTCTTTCAACCATAATTAAATTGTTTCTATTGAGTACAACGAACGTGAGAGGTGTTAATACCTTCTCGTAGCATAACCGACTCCCGAACCTAGATATTGGTTGCGATGACCATATCCTTTTCTTTCTTCTAGGGATTTAATCGATATTTTCCATTTCTCTCTAAGGGAATAAATAAAGATCGGTGGCGACTCTGTTAAGTCTATCCCACGAGCATGCGAATGTACTTCGCGAGGTCGTGCTCTCATTTTTTGAGGTACGACAGATTGAATGATCTATCTACTATTTTAAGGCTGTGTTTGTGAGTTTCAAGGGAAAGGAAGGATAATGCTTTTAAAAAAGGGAAGAATTGAGTAAAAAAATAGAGAGATCTAAGTGAAAGAGTCTTTGAGAGTTTGTTTTTATTTGTAACACAAAATACTCATAATTTGGAGAATTCAAAATTTGTATATAAGAATGGTTTAAAAGGGTTTACATAATTTTTTCAAATATATTTTATGTTATAATTTTCTAAAAATTAAAAATATAGTAATAATAAATACTCGTTTATCATTCTATATAAAATTATTCTTTCAAAAATTGTTAAATATTATCACATACACACGCGCGCCCACACACACACACGCCCACACACACATTCATTTTTTGAAGCCTTCTCTTTCCCTTCTCTCTAAAATCTCAAACAAAACCTAAATGAATGGACTCCATTAATAAAAAAATTGTGTAATGAATAAATTTGATAGATTTTTAAGTGGACAGATGGATGAATCTTTTGTTAATGAATCATATTTTCCATATTCTTGAGTCATAAGTAGAAGTAAGAATATGACAAACAACTAACCGAAATTTATGACCAATTTTGTACAACGCAGAGCACGTTAAACTTTTTTAAAATACAAAAGAACTAAGCATTTTTATAAGTCTATTTACTTAAAAATGTTAGGCCTCAGACCATAAAAAAGTCTTTTGAGCCTATTAGGTTGACAAATTTAAATAAAAACAAATAGTTTTATTATTATTATTATTATTATTATTATTATTATTATTATTATTATTATTATTATTATTATTATTATTATTATTATTATTATTATTATATTGTAAATTGTAATTTGAATTAAAATACAAAAGTAAAATTTAATTATCTAGAAGAACTTATGAATATAAATTGAAAGTATCTTATTAACAATATCATAAGTTGTTTTCATATATTTTTTTAAACAAATAGTCTCGGTGTCTCACAAAATTATGCTACTATGTAAACTCAGATAAGTCAATGAAAACAAACTTTTAATATAATTGGTATTTTAGTTTTTTAGTACATATAAATATTATTTGAATTGCTTATTTACATTTGTTCAAATAAAATAGATTTTTATGTAGGATAATAGACCAATCAAACTTTCGAAAAGCCTAGACTCAAACCTAAATAACAAACTATAGATCAAATTTGAACTTTGATATTTTTAGGATGATAGACTTGAACTTAACAAAATCTAACTCGGACGAACATATTCCCACTCTTAATCATGAGAATAGTTTTCTATATTAATTTTACAATTTATAAATTATTCATGATGTTTAATCAATTAATTAATTAATTTTATACACTTTATTTCTTTACTTACTATATATATTTATAAACATTTTAGTTTAAAAATTGAATATTCTCACATACCATACTTAATCTTTTTTAAACTAGTAAAAAAATCTATAATTAAAGAACATAATAGCTTAAAAAAGAATGAATTATTATAGAAAATTCTAACACGGGTAGAAATTACCCACGACAGATTTTACTAATAAAAAGAATACTCCTAAAAATTATATTGTATTTTGTGTGTGTAATTAGACTGTATTTTATTTTACTTTGTGATATAATCTATATATATAAAATAAAGTCTCTGTAGTACTATTTTTTACACGGTTTATTCAAATATCTTTGAATTTTACATGTTATTAGAGCGATGATGCTAGTTAAGAGTGCTAAAGATCCTAACCTAATTCTCCTCAAAAGTCATCGTTGCCGCAGTAGCTCCTACTCCAGCACTATCGCCGCTTCTTCTTAAAAGTCGTCGTCGCCGCCACAATACCTCTTCCTTCTCCACTTGCCCTCCCTTTCGTGATTGTCCTCTCCTTCCCTTCCTTTGACTGCGCCGTTGTCATATCTCATTCTCTCCATCCAATTGCACAAGCCGTACGTAACTTACCACTAGCGTTGCTTCTCCATCAATGTCAGACCCTTCTAATCCGACCCCAACGATGACCATTCACACTATTTTCAACATCGCTCTCTCTAAGTCTTGGCACGTTCATTAGTTAGATGTTTATAATGTCTTTCTACACGGTGATCTTTATGAAATTGTCTATATGCAACAACCAATGGGTTTCTGTGATCCTCATCACCCAGATTAAATGTGTCGCTTGTAGAAATTTCTCCATGGTCTGAAGTAAGTGCCCAATGCATGGTAATAGTGTTTTATCGACTATGTCTCAACCATTGAATTTCAGCACAACACCTATGATCACTATCTCTTCATCTAGCGGCACAGGCCGACATGACTTTCATCTTACTTTATCTTGAGAACATTATGCTCATCAGTTCCTCTCATGACCTGCGTAAATTTATCATGGTGGTTCTTGCCTCTGAGTTTTCTATGAAGGATATGAGACCGCTAAGCTATTTTTTGGGTATTGCATTGACCAGACATGCAAATGGACTTTTTCTGAGTCATAGTACTTACGCCAGTGACATTATTGCTCGAGCCAGCATATCCTCATACAAACCATCAGCTACTCTAGTTGACACCACACAGGAGCTCAATATCTCTGTCGGTTCTCCATATGACGATCCTACATTATAACAGCGTCGTGTTGATGCTTTGCAGTATCTCACATTTACTTGTCCTGACATCTCCTATATTCTCCAACATGTGTGTTTTCATATGCATGCTCCCTGCACTGAGCACGTGCTTGCATTGAAACACATATCACGTTACGTTTAGGGCACCTTACAATATGATTTGCATCTCTATCCTTCTCCCACTAAGAAGCTTGTTTTCAACACAAATGTTAATTTGGGTGGATGTCCCAACACTCATCGATCTATTTCAGATTATTGTATTTTCTTGGTGACAACCAAATTTCATGGTCTTCAAAGAGACATCCCACACTTTCTTGTCCCAGTGCAGAGGCTGAGTACTAAGGCGTTGTTAATGTAGTTTTAGAATCATGTTGCCTCCACAACCTTCTCTTGGAGTTTCATTTTCCTATTTCTCAGCCTACTCTTGTGTACTGTGACAATGTTAGTGCTATCTACCTATATGGAAATTCTATCCAACATCAACGTATAAAACACATTGAGCTGGACATTCACTTTGTTTGAAGAGAGTCACTCGTAATCAAGTCTGCGTTCTTCATGATCCCTCTCGGCATCAGATCGCTGATAACTTCACCAAAAAACCTCCCTATAATTCTCTTTAATGATTTCTTAGTCAGTCTAAGCGTCCGTCAACCTCCACTTCAACTGCAGAGTATAATAAATTTATATTTATTAATTAAAAAATATTTATATATAAATTCTACATCAACTATAACATATAATTAATTATAAATATCTATCAATATAATAGATATTCCAGAATACTATTCTCACACGATTTATACATCTTTTTGCAAGTTTAGTGGATATTATAATTGTTGAATAAAGTCTAAACTCTTTTTTTTCTTCTAAAGTACTACTCCACCCATTCACCCATCCTCTATTATAAGATTCTATATAAATTTCAAGAGTATTAACATAAATGATTATACTAAAATGTTGATAAAAAATCAGTTTAATACAATTTGGTCTACAACTAATAATATAATATAAAAATAAATAAATTTTTATTTTTATTCGTCAACAATAAATTTAATTGAGATATTTTTGAAAGAAGTTACTCTATATGTTTTGAAGACAGTTATATTAAAGACTCTACCAATATTGGAAACTAGTTCCATACATACAGTAACAAGTTTCCAAGTTTATCAAAATTTATAAACAGAATAAATACAAAATCAAGCCAACAATTAATCAGATTTGATTCAAGGTAAAATAAGAAAGAGTTATTAATTAATACAAACAAAAACAAAATAACGAGAGATGAGAACTGTAAGAAAAAAAGGTCAAAAGAAAAGATAGTATCAAATCCCACCATTAATAAGGTAGTATCCCACTCATCACCGACACTCAAAGCTAACCTAACCATACCATGTGAAACTCCAACAAAAACAAAAACATGGTCCACCAATTGTTTTTATATTCCCCCAATTGTTCCATCTCATCCAACGACCAAAACCCCTCCATATCCTCAAATCTCAATTCTCACCGTTCGATCATAAGTCTCAAACCACTCATCACTATCACCACCCCCACCCAATTAATAACACCACCACCTTCACTTCTTCGCCAATCTGAACTCCTTTTCAGTTTCAGTTCAGATCTGACCAAACCAAAACAACCCACATGTTTTTGTTATCACACTTATAACAAAAACAACAACCGTATCATCAAAAACAACTTCATTTTTTTCTTCGATTTTATTTGCTTGTTACATTGGCAATGGTGGAGGCACAAACATGGACGACAAGAAGAATGAGCAATCCGAGATTACTATCACTAGACACAAACGACCAACTTCTAGACATTCCGGCAACACCACCAAGTGATCAAAGAAACAATAATCACAACAACAACATCATCGGATCCAACAATTTTCTAACAACGTCATTCATAATCGCGTCATGGTACTTTTCAAACATCGGCGTTCTTCTTCTCAACAAGTATCTCCTCAGCTTCTACGGTTACCGTTTCCCTATTTTTCTCACAATGCTCCACATGCTATCTTGCGCTGCATATTCCTACGCCGCCATTAATCTTCTTCAAATCGTTCCGTTTCAGCAAATCCATTCCAAGAAACAGTTCCTCAAGATCCTCGCGCTCAGCGCTATTTTCTGCTTCTCAGTTGTTTGTGGAAATACCTCACTCAGATATCTTCCTATTTCGTTTAATCAAGCAATCGGTGCAACGACGCCGTTTTTCACTGCGATTTTCGCTTTTTTGATTACCTGCAAAAAGGAAACCGCTGAGGTTTACCTTGCTTTGTTACCGGTTGTTTTAGGGATTGTTATTTCCACGAATAGCGAACCGATGTTTCATTTGTTTGGGTTTTTGGTTTGTGTCGGTTCAACTGCTGGGCGCGCTTTGAAGAGTGTTGTTCAAGGGATTATATTGACTTCTGATTCGGAGAAGCTTCATTCTATGAACTTGCTTCTTTATATGGCTCCTTTGGCTGCTTTGATTCTGTTACCGTTTAGTTTATATATTGAAGGCAATGTGTTTGTGATAACGCTTGAGAAAGCGAGAAGTGATCCTTTTATTGTGTTTTTGCTGGTTGGGAATGCCACTGTTGCGTATTTGGTTAATTTGACTAATTTTCTTGTTACCAAACATACTAGTGCTTTGACGCTGCAAGTTTTGGGGAATGCTAAAGCTGCTGTGGCTGCTGTTGTTTCTGTTTTGATATTCAGAAATCCAGTTACTGTCATGGGGATGACTGGGTTTGGGATTACAGTAATGGGTGTTGTGTTTTACAGTGAAGCAAAGAAGAGATCCAAAGGTGCATCTCATTGATTGGGTGGTGATGGATTCACATTTTTTTTGGATTTTCACGAAGGCACAAACGGGTACTTCTTACTTGCTTTACTTTATTGTTAATTGTTGGGAAATTTTTAATGTTGATGAAATTGTATTTCTGTGGAATTGGATCTGATCGTGTTATCACAGTAAAAATTGGACTGTATAGGAAGAAGCAGATAAAGGGCAAGGTTACTTAGTTATATTTGTTTTGCTATTGCTGCTGTGTAATTTTATAAAAATATTCGTTGCTCTTCCGCAACACACATAAATGATTCATAGGGGGAAAGGAAAAGGCTACATTTGTGTATTTGGTGAGGGAGGAAAATTCTCCTTCACTTTCATTTTATTAATTACATCATCCATTGTTTCACTTGTGGAAGCTTTAATTTTGATTCATTTTGGTGCTCCGAGTTAATTACTTGTATGATTTGCTACTTCCGTCGATTATCAGCTACGGTTAGTTTTTCAATCGTGGTCGAGTTGCAGAACTTGATATTGCATAAAGTTGCAGGCAAATACTGTTGATATATATATATATATATATATATATATATATATATATATATATATATATATATATATATATATATATATATATATATATATATATATATATATGTTCAGCTTATTAGTTTAATATGTCATTGACAATTTTAATCGGTTGAACCAATATATGGTTTGCTTACTTTGATACATCAATGGGTAGCCGCTAACTTAGTATAACAGTAGCTTCTCAGCAAAGACTGCAATGGCAATGTATTGTTGATACTATGCAGTTTTCACCCTCAAGGTAGTTCATATTTCAACACCATCCCTGTCCATGTTTTTGGCTTAATCTCTTGAAAACTAGATGCTAGTAAGCTATCCGTGTCAAAGGGGTTGCTTGATTGTATTGTATCTTTATCAATCTTGGATGTTTGAAAGCTAGATAGATGTTTGGTGCATCTTAGTAAACTGTCATTGGTTGTTTTAGAACTAGGCTTGTGTGCTTGGTTTGACAATGTTAGGTGTCTAGTGCTATCACTACAGTTTTGATTGATTGCTCATGGTGACTTTTTACCAAAAGTAAATATACAAAGGAGTACATTGTCAATTTATTCAACTTGTTTGTTTCTCTTACATTATTTAGCATTACTCAAGGGTTTATTCACTACATCTATAAGGATGAGTCTGGCTAGTAATCGAGTTTGATCTGTGATGAAGGAACAATTCATATCTAGATTTTAGTTCTCTCTTGATTGAACACATATTAGTCTAAGACCCATTTTCTTGCAAATATTCGGATTGTTTGTAAGAGATTGGATGAGATTTTGGTTCTAATTCTATATTATAGAAATCAATTGAGCTGTTGTGAACTGTAGGAAACAAGCTTAATGTTTGATATTCTTTGGGGTTATCAAAGTCTAATTGAATAAAACAAGTGAACAAGTAACTCTTTATATGGCCAGGTAAAAAATCTAATCCAATCAACAGTAAACACGAGCACTATTTCGTTCAGAATAAACAAATGGACTTTCTCTTGTATCTGAAATTGGACTTAAACTAGCGCTGGAAGAAGCTACAAATCTAAATGGGAGCTCACTAATTGCAAGCTGTCATTTACTCAAAAATAGGATCTTGCAAACCTCATTGTACCAATCTAGCTTTTTCAATGTCAAAGATTTCCATTGTCGAAAGTCAAACAATAAATTAAAAGTGTGTTTAGATGATGTAATTAAAAATTTGTTAGGGAATTTAAAATTCAAGCAATTTAAATGATTTAGTTGAAATTCTTTCAATTTTAATTTTTTTTTTGTGCGGATAGAATATTAAATTATTCATTGTTAAATTTTTTGAATTATTTTTAATCTTTTTAAATTTTTTTGGGTCTAGTATAAAATTTAGAAAAATAGGGATTAATTTGTAATTTTTGAAAATTTAAAGGGATTAATTTTGTAATTTTTGAAAATTTGAAATGATCAATTTGTTAAATTTTAAAAATTATTAGGAATTTATTTGTAATATTTTTTTTAAAGTTTTGGAGGGTGAATTTGAAATTTTCAAAAAATATGAGGACCATCTTATAAAATTTAAAAGGTTAATAAATTATTTAACATTTATTTTATACAAAGTGAATGAACAATTTTAAAATATTACTTTTTGTATTATTTGAAATTCCATAAATTTACTCTAAATAAAATATTTCATAATTTTTCATCATTTTATCAATTTTTTATTTAACCAAACAATATATTTGGTCAGATTATTTTAAAACTTTTTAAAAAACTAAATTATTTTCCTCATTTAAAATACTTTGTCTAAAGACACTCTAATTTATATATTTAAATTTTATTTTGTTGTTGAGAAAGTTACACAATGGAAAAAAAAAAGAAGCAAGAAAAATCTCAAAACACATTCTCTACATGCAAACTAGGAAGATTCATTTTTCCATCTTTCAAGTAAAGTAAAATATCCGTGCGGCACGGGTCCATTAATTTTAATTGATATATAATTTATTTATATGTATTTGTAAATATGAATTGATAAATTTAATTATCTAATGTGTAATACCCCAAATTTTACCCTCAAATTAGTTGATCCATGTCGCACATCATCTCATTTTTGCATCAGCTAACTATTAACCGGTTACGTAGTTTGCTTCGTTTTGCAGGAACCGCGTCTAGTACACCGTAGCTGTTAAAGGGAAAAATGGTCATTTTCACGTTGTTTATTGACAGTCCTTGAAGCTGAGTCATCATCGGGGATTTATTGAATAATTAGAGCCTCTGCTTCCGAATATTTTATTTTCTGTGGAAATAAACAGAAATTCACGGTATTCGAGATATGGTAATTAATTCGATGGGCCGAGTTTCTGTCACTAGTGGATTTCTGATACATTTATTCTGTCATATGGGTTGATTGGGTGAAATGTCTGTTTGGTTTGGTTCAAATCGATACGAGAATCCGTTCTGCGAAAATTGGTTTCAACAGACAGTTATTTTCTGTTTCTTCTGCTACCTGCTATTTATTTCCCTAAAAGAAAAGCAGTATAAACGTCGGCTCAAGTCGAGATTTGTCACATTTATTTAATTGAAGTTTTTGGCCGAGTTGGTTCACGGCAGGGGATTTATTCATCAGAAACATAATTGGAATTTTTGGCGCGGAATAGTTTTGTTTCACTGTTAATTAGAGTTCTCTGTTTCCCTTCCATTTTAATTCGTTCAAGGTTATTTCTGATCCTATCATCATGTGCAACTTAATTTAGAATATATTGGAAAATTAAGGTTATATCAGATCTGTGGAGCGGTACATGTTGGAATGGAAAGTTTGATTCGACTGACTTTTGGAATTTATTCATGTTGGATTTATATGGTGAACTTAATATATTAAACTAAATTATATGGTGAACTAAATTATACTAAAAGGCAATGATATGGTGAACTTAATATATTAAACTAAATTATATGGTGAACTAAATTATACTAAAAGGCAATGATACAAAGTTAAAGGTGATTTCAAATGCCAATATAAACGTTACAAAATTGTAAGTTTACTTGTACTAGTACAAATTGCTTAACACTTGTACATGATATCTTGCTTAACACTTGTACTACTATAAGAGTGAAGCCTTACCAATATTCTTGTTTCAAATGAAGTTTCTTCATCATAACATTGTCATCGCTGATGTCAACTCTTATATGCTTCATAAACTAATTTATAATTTAATGTGATCTTATGCTAGAATCTTCCACCTACGGGATTCTTTAGATAGATTAAAAAAGTGTTCATGCATATCAGATTATGAATCACATTATTCTTAGGTATGCTTCATAAACTAATTTATAATTTAATGTGATCTTATGCTAGAATCTTCCACCTACGGGATTCTTTAGATAGATTAAAAAAGTGTTCATGCATATCAGATTATGAATCACATTATTCTTAGGTAGATGTCATCAAATAAATTATGGACCAACATTCTTAGAAACTTGTACGGTACCCATAATGCATTGTAATTCAAATTCCAATGACAGAAACTTGAGATGGATGATACAAACATTAGAAACAAAACATGTTGAACTTGGTTTCTTCCAATGGAATTAGAATCTGCAGCAGACCAACCACACAAGCCACCAGGTTCTGCTCATCCTTCTAATTACAGCAGAAGCTACATTCTGGATCAACCAGCTCTTCATCGAAGCAACATAAGCCGTTGGCACGGTCGATGACTTTACTGCTAAAAATATTCCAGCTTTCTTCATCGGGCAACCAATTCAAATGAAGTCGTATCAGCAATAATTTTTGCTAAGTCATGATAAGAGGCAAACAACATCATTAAATTTTCCTGAGATCCATTACCACCAAATGAGAGCGGAAACCTGCAAAAAAAAACAGTGAAGCCAGAGTCACAAGTCAATTCACATTCAAGAAAGGTTGGAATTTATAACACACTGGACAAGACTATTAAGCAGCCGAGGATAGCATCCGTAAATAATACCCTGTTGTACAATCTTCTAGGGGAAGCTAACTACACTTGAATTTGAAGGTAAAAGTATGGGAATTAAAGAGGTATCATATAGCGGGTATAAGAAACTGATGTTGCCTTTGTTGTGGTTGGCACCTTTACGGCTTGCCTTATGCACATACCGTGGTAGCGCTTCTATCCTAGTGAACGGGACTTCATACGATGACTGTTGGCACGCCAATGATGTATCAATTACGCCAGTTTCATTATGAGCATTGAGCATTAGCACCTGCTGTAACGCGTGGTTCAAGTCTCGAGACTTTCATCGAAGTTCTTGCCGTTAACGCTGGTCTGCGCAAACTCCTTTCTCCAGGGCAAGATAAAGAACTGAATTTTGGCCAGGATACTCTTGAGAATGGTCTTTCCATCTTCAGGATTATTTCCATTATCATCTTTACAGTTCATAATGTGAAGAAGGAATCTGAAGGTCAAGCTCAGGCAGAAACTGTACAGCAGGCTGTTCTACTTCAAAATGCGTTCACTACCGCTTTCGAACTGATAGAGAGGGGCGTGCAGGCAATGGGCGTTTGGCACATTATCCCGATCTTGCTGCAGGCAATGACAGGGATGAAAAATTAGCATTAGCAGCATAACAGTACATGCTGACGGAGGGTACAAAACGAAAGGAAGTCCAGAGGTGATTACACCATACAAGAAAATTCGCAGAAGCCGTTAACGTCAATAACGGAATTCAACTTTTGGAATAAATCTCCGATATCTGTTGAGCTTCGCTGGCAGATGATCGCTCCTGAAAAGAAGGCTGAGATCAAAACAAACTCGTCAAAAATCATAACAACAAATCACACTGAAATCCTGAAAAATAGCAATAATTCTGTGACCTAAATCCAGAACAACTTAAGCCCACAGTCACAAATCCCGTGATATATAAACCCTTGGGAAAAACCCTAATGGAGAACGAAAAAGCGGCGCATTTGAGGAGGTTCAAAAAGCTGAAGCTTTCATCATCACCCCACGTCGAGAAAGAAGAAGGGATCAAAAGGGCGGCGTGATCCATAAAGAACAGAAGAACTCACGGCAACAACAACAATTGAAACGATAACATCACAGTAAAGAGAGGCGAAATCGCAGTTTTTCCGCTATTACGACGATAACAGGGGTAAATCAAATCGGAGCCTACCTCGGAGATAACCAACGTCGACCTCCACGCGTACAACGCCGTGATGAACTCCCTCTGACCACTATGAATTTACCGACGGAGACCTTTATGCATCCGTAATTCCGTTATCTTCCTTTGTGAGAAGCCGCAGTCGTGAGAACAAACCTCCGTCTTCTCAGATCAGGAACATCGTATTTCCGTCACGGGCCACTCATCTGCTCAGAACGTTGCAGGTTAGTTTCTTGTTTTCCTTGGATACTATATAATTTAGTGTGCTTGTGGTTGGTTGGGATTGTTGAATATTGTTATCTTTCATGTTCATTTTACGCTGGGAATTTGTGAATGAGAAATACGGTGGCTGGAAGATGATAAGAATGGGAAAGTGTATTTTAATTTGGTATTTATTCATTTTAATCATAAGATAAGTAATAATTAAAAATATAAAGATTGCCATGTTTTTGCTTGGAAAAAGAGATACTGCCTGTTGCTATTCTCCAAAAAGGCTCCCGTTGCCGTTTTGCCGTCGAAACTTGGTCTTACCCATTTCATTTTATTTAGGCTAAATTGCTGGTCTTTTAAAAATACAAAACCTAAAAAATAGTAACTATTTTATAGTTAAAGTCATTTAGTTTTGTTTAGGTTTCATTCATGATTAAAAAATATTTCTTTAGTTTAATTAATCATTTTAACATTTTAGCTTAAATATAATTTTAAGGACACAAAACTTTCAAAAATAACTAAAAAAACAATTAACTTTTAAATTTCCTAACTAACTGATTCCAATTTTCCAATTCCTAAATCATTTTCATAATTCACATCTAATTCACCATTTAAATTTAATATCTAATCATGTTTACCGTATGTCCTTACATTTCAATGCTTATCAATTATCATCGCTATCGTTTGCTTATTCACTGTTTTATTTTTCTCGTTTATCTCCTCCGAAGGAATTAGGATTAACAGTTTGACCGCCGAGTCAATAACCCTAGTTTCAACACCCTAATTAGCCTAGGCGTCCCGCCGTGGACAAAAATACCCTTTACCCTAGCTTTAGGTCAAAGAGTGGTCGTACTCTGTTTTAGGATTTCCCGTTGTGGAATCCCTAATTTAACCCTAATTTCAATTCAACAAGTTCAACGTAGAAATAGGAGTTTCAAGACTCCACGTAAGCGTGTCCTTAAGATATGTTTACTCCCCTTGAAACCTTGACCATAGTCAAAAGTTTCTAACCTCCCTTTCGAGGGGAACTACAATTATTCTGATTCCATTCCCGTCAGGATATGTAGGCACAAGATGCGACGTCTTGCCGAGTAAACTTAGGACTAACCCTTAGGTCTTTAAGTCACTTTATCCCTTAGTTCAGTATATACAGATAATAATAAATAAAATAAAAAAAGCATATAATAAACAAAAGGTTCCTGTAGAGTACTACCGAAGTTTAGGGTGCTAGTACCTTCCCTAAGCTTAACCAACCATTTACCTAGGTCTCTCCCCGCATTGTGTTTACGATGCAAAAATAGGTTTTTTCCTCTTTTGACATTTTCCTTCGGATAAATCAAAGAGCGGTTGTGAATTAAGAATTGTGATTCAAATTAATTAATAATTTGATATTCTATTTCCACCGCAACATAATGCAAATTAATTATATCAAATGAATATAGTATATTAAATGGAATGATTAATTTCTTATGGTAATTTGGTTAAAATTAATTAGATGTAGTAAGTTAAATGTATTGTGACAATTTACAACTGTTAGATAAGTTACATAAGATGGTCATTAGAATATATTAAGTATTGGTTGAGCAAGTACACAAACTAAATATGTGACAACAATTACATTTAATGCCGAAGATTTCACAAGTAGACAACCTGTCAACAATAGCCCTTCTATAATAAACTTGATTCAAGTAGCAGCTTGAACTTTTATCTGATTCAAATACACCTGAAAATGGAGACATGAGTAACAATAAGTAAAACCATCAGTGGTAAAAATCTAACATCTATTCTAAATAGTAAAAACACCAAGGGAAGAATATGAACAAGCATGGATCCTAAAAAAGTGCAGATTCGTTCGATAGATCTTTTAAGATTCATGTTCATGGAAGATGAAATTCAATCAAATGTTACCTGTAATGCCAAAGAAGCATGACTTACACATATGAAAGCATATGCTTCCTTCACCTTATATCTATTTACACCTTTTCTTCGTATTTTTCAAAACAAAACAAAAAATCTTAAAGAGATTGAATTTATTGTGTACACATTGTGAATCCTAGAGCTTTGAAAAGGTTTAGACCAAAACATGCCCAAGAAAATTATCAGAGATTTGCTAGAAAAAGATCATTGTTCACTGCTAATAAAAATGTATGCCAAATGTTAAAAATCAACCTTCCAATTTTAATGTGTATTAAGTTCAAGATGATAGCTACTGAGAATAAATAGCGTTAGTAGGTTCGGTAGTAAGGCCAAACCCAAATGGAAAAAGAGGATCATAATGAGCATCTCCAACATTCATTGGAAGTTGATCAATACTTTTGAACCATGTTCTTGGAAGCTTTCATGTGAAACCATACTCCCCAAAAAAAACATCATCCACACCTTGTCCTTCACTACCTGGTAGCCAACCAGCAACAACTGCATCCATCAAACCAACATACGGTTCGATAACCAAAGGTCGGCCGGAGATAATCACAACCGCACATTCTATAGCTCCACAGACATTTGTTATGATCTCAGGACCAGGGTTCGGAATTGTCAAGTTCATGTTGTCACCATGCATTTCAGCATAAGGTTTCTCTCCTACTACGACTATAGCGTAGGAAAAACCATTGGATTTAATAAATTCTATATCAAGGTTCTCCTCGTAGATCACTATCGTCTATGGATCAACCGTGTTCTTTATAGCATCGAGAATTGTAGTCCTTGATCATATCAAGAATGTTCACAAGAATAAGGATCGATGATAACTATGAGTTATATATGATTAAAATCAAACATTTTTAATGATCTAACGAATATGTCTGGTTGACATTGTAAAACGTTTTTATAACGACTGTACATATCAATCAAAATGAATCATACCTTCGAGAATATCGTTGCCACTGTCTCCTTTCCATTCAATGGTCTAGCCACCACACTGATATCCTAGATTATTTGCATGCCTTCCGACCACAAGAATTTTCGAAACCTTTTTAGGAAGTGGTAGCAAGGCTTTTCATCAGATTTTCCATTTTTAAGAAGAACCGTGGATTTCCTTACAGCTTCTCTAGCAAGTTCTCTATGCTCCTGTTCAGAATTTGAATAAGCATGGAAGAGATGATTATAAGTTATATTAAGTTGTTATCTGAATGAAGCTAAAGGAAAATAGCAAACCTTAGTCCCAAGACAATTAACCAAACTATAATCAGCAAAAGGGTTCTCGAAAATTCCCATCATGAACTTAACACACAAAATTCTTCTCACAACATCATCAATTCGACTCATAGGAATGACTTCATTTTTCACCAATGTTGTTAGATCGTCGATGAATTCCTTGTAGAACTTAGGAACCATGAACTGCAATAATGCAAACCAAAGTAAATTTTGTAAAATGTATTAAAATGTTTCTTCATTTTATGAACATTGATTTAAGCATTTATATGGTATACTTTTAGTCCTTAAACTACCATGTCAATGTCGGCGAAAACTCCTGCTTGAAGTGAATAAGTGCAGTTTTCATGATGCGGAGTGGTGATCCTGTCAATACCCTCAAAATCTGAAATGACAAAGCCTTGTCATAATTGAAGAAAATGTTAGACGTTAGTCTTTGAAATTTTCCATACATGGTGATCTCGAGTTTTCAATTGTTGAACAAATTATCTTCACATGGAAATGGAGAGTATTTTTAAGGAAACCAGTAATATGATCATGATGAGTATGCATTTTTACACCATTCCAACTTGAGTAAGATACCATAACAGTTGCCACACCCTTGTCAATGGCGCTTAAGTACCCGGCATGTGAATTTCCATCAATCCATTTCGATCTATAATAGTGTTACTCTCATTAATCCCATCAACCGTTCCACCGTCACCAACGTAGTGTTTAGCACAAGCTAGAACCTTTTC